GTCTGAGACGGCGAGAGATTGGAGAGACCGAGTCCGATTCCGAGAGTGAAGCATAGCTTAGGGCTGAAGATCTGATTTCCCTTTTTAAAAAAAATTAGAACCCGTTATTGGTTTGGGCTGGGTCGGTTCACCGTGGGTTTGAGGTCTCAGCCCACCAACCAAACCAACCCAATATGGTTTTGCTTAATAAGAACCAAACCAAACCAATAAATTGAAGGGATCCGAACCGAACCGGCCCGAACCGGTTCGGTTTGATTGGTTTAGCCGGTTTATCGGTTTTTTTGCCCACCCCTAGCTCCATCCCATCTATTTCCTATACCCATAAAAGAAGTAACTTCTTGTTCGCTATCAGCATTTTGACGTGATCAATCATAAATATCATGAATCCATCCTATGAGATTGAACTTGAAGTTTGTAGATCCAAACCGATAGCCATACGAATACCCTCTACACTTTTGACATTATGTATATAAATTAGTAACAGTTTCGAAATTACTTTTTTTCCTTTTTTATCGTTTCATTTTCATTATCACAACTTATCAGTATCACTTTCAACTTAATTATTTCGTATTAGAGACACCCTCATGAATTATGGATGTTTAGATGCATGAAATATTCATTAGAGTCACTTCAATTTTGCATCTGACATTGAATAAAAAATGGGTTGGAATTTATTTAAAAAAAAAAGAAAAGTGCCTAATGGCAACGCCGTGGCAATAATTAAAGAACAATCTTTTCGGAATACTTTTCTAATGTTTGGCTAAGCTTGAAAGTTATATTTTTTTAAGTAATTTTTTTATTGTCGAACATTTTGCTTGTTTGATAATACTTTTAAGTGCTTTAATCGTGGATGTTATCATATGTTTGGTAACAGGGGCGTAGACCCCAAACCCAATTAACTTTGTTAAGGAAAAAAAAAAATGAAAATTCTTCTTTTCTAATGGATTTTTTTCTTTTTTTAATGTATCAATTCAGTATAAAAAACTGTTTTTTTGTCCTCCCGACTCCGCCCCTGGTTACCCCACACGTGAACTTGTGTTGAAGCATCCCTTTGGATTATAGATCTTTACTTCGAGTCTTTGAATACATGATTTATTTTCTTAGTATCTTCTTTTCAATTCTTTGCAAATATTTCTATAGATAATAATAAATTTTTAACCCTTTTCCAAATATTCCTACAGATAATATGTTTTGACTGATTAAATCTGTGTGGAATTTATACAACTCTGTTTTATTCAACCCCAAATTCCACTCTTTTCTCAAAGAAGACTTCCAATTAGAAACGTCCCATGAGCTTTGACTGTGAGAAAATAAACCT